TATCATCATATGCTATTGACAGAGCCCCTGAGAAGTTATCCTTATATATACTATAAGGCTAATATGCAAATAGACTAAACAGCAGAACAACCATAATAACCGAACAACTGATCACTATGATGTGCACTGACCATCAGGGGCGTGTGGAATATGGCAGGCGTTGGCCGCAGTGGGCTGGTGGAGTAGGTGAGCAGGGGCACCAGACCAAAGTGGGACACTGTGGCAGGAGGGGCTGGGAGGGAGTGCGAAGGAAGGGCAAAGATCTGTCCCTGTGCCTACAGTAGCCTCACAGCCCACAGTTCCTTTCAAGGTGCACAAATTCGTGCACTGGGACCCTAGTATTGTATATAATGTGTTCTCCCCATACTCAATGTACAAACCATTGTTTAACCCTGCCTTTTTAAAAAGCATGCATGTAGCCATGGTATGACCCCATGCATGTAATAGTCTTGAAATGAGAAAAGTTCAGAGATGGGGAAGAGAGCAGGGGTGCAGGGTACTGGATAAGGAGAGTTTCTGGGTGCTGGAGCAGGTATGTATCCTGACTGTATGTGGTTCCACAGAATGTACATGGATGATGAGGTTTCAACACCAATCCCTAACCCCTCCCCAAGATATAGCACATGTGAAAACTGGTGGGATCCAGTTTGTCCAGTGGCAGCTTCCTGTTTCAATCACTGAATTAGGCTTATGTCAATGTTGCCTTCAGGGGTGGGGACAGGTACACAGGACAGGTACTCTTTTTGCAACTTGAATGTGGATCTAAAATTATTACACAATACGAAGACTTTTAAAAATGTTTCCACTATTTGAAGAATGTGTGCCAGTTGTAGCATTCTGGGGATAGAACCGACTTTATAAGGTGCAGTCGCAGCTTCACCTCTGTATCCAGGTGCTGCCCCCCCCCCCACCGCCACCCATGACATGCGCTGTCTGCATGGTGCCCAGTTTACCACGTGCTTGCATCCCTTCCACAGGTTCTCCTGCCCGATGGGCCTCAACCTCTCCGTCGCCGCCATCACCTGGGAGAGCTCAGGGCGTCCGGCAGTAACTGCCGAATGCAGGCACCATGCACGCCTCATCTCATCCCCCATACCCCTCCCTGCCTAACCCTTGCAGATGAGGAAACTGAGGCTTGGAGAGACAACGAACTTGCCAAGGTCCCGAGGCCAGATCTGGTGATGCCCCCAGCCAGGCTTCCCTACCCCCTACCGGCCACCAGGGCTGCCACCTGCAGACTGGTCTCTGGCAGCAGGTGGGAGGCCAGCCAGTGGGGACCGGGCACTAATTCACGCTGTGGGCGGAGCAGCTGCTCGAGCCCTGCGCCGGCCACGCCGCTGATGTTCCTGGTAGATAAAGTGCTCCACTTAGAGCTCTCCCCGGCTGCGGGGCCATTAGCTCGCTGACTCCTGGAAAACCATTTGGCCGGCGCTGACAGATGTGGCCATTACACAATCACTTAGCCCCTCCAGCTGCCCCATCCCGACCTTGGGGGGGTTGGGGGGGCTCGAGGCCTGCAAAGCCCTGGGGAGGGTCCACAGATTCACTTCCTGGCCACGCCTCCCCTCTGCCCCAGGCTGGTTCCTCTGGCCCAGCTGCTGCAGCAGGAGGCAGCTCCTCAGATGCAGGGTCTCAGGCTGCCAATGGCCTTGCTCTCCGGAGAGCTGTTCACAAACTGCCTTCACACACATCATCGCCCTTGATCCTCCCGCATCCCTGTGGAGGCAAATTGAGGATTATTGCTTCCACTGTACAGATAAAGAAATGAGGGCCAGAGAGGCTGCGGAGCTGGCCCGAGACCCCACGGCTAATAGTGTCAGACAGGGGGCCGACCTCGGACCTCCGAGTCCCAGACTGTGGGGCGCTGCCCACCCACTCTGCGGGGTCCTGGTGAGAGGTTAGGGTGCCTCAGAGCAGGGCTCCGTGGCCGAACGCCACATGCACGCCTCTGTTGAGCGAAGATGTGAGTCCTCACCCCCAGGGGCACCTGCCCCATTGGCAGAGCCAAGACAGCCCTTGACCTGGCAGGCCCCAGCTCAGGTCGCTGTATCCAACACCTCCCTCATTCTCTGGACCCTTTGCTCAAGCTAGAGGTGTGCCCTCCCAGCCAAGGGCCCCGGCGGACTTCAAAGCATTTGGCAGCTGGCAAACCTGTCCCCACCAGCATCTCAGGATGGAGGCGGCTGTGACATCTGGGCACCTGGCTGTTCCAGGCCAGAGCTCTGACAATGAGCTCTGTCCCTGCCCGGCCCTGGAGTCAGGACACACCCAGCAGAGTTGGGGAGCCAGGGGCAATGGGAGGGGGCAGTGCCCAAGTCCCAAAGAAGAGCCCTGGGGAGCAATGGCCCATCCCCTGCACATAGCCGGGCTTGGGAAAGAAGCAGAGGTGCCCCACAGGCCACCCTCAGGCTCAGAGCCCTGAGAGCAGGCGGCAGGCGGCAGCAGCGAGAGAAGGCCCAGCCTCCTCAGACCCACCCAACAGAACGCAGAGAGAAGCCGTGGTGCTCCAGGGTGCCAGGCGCAGAAAGACTGCGCTGGAAAGCCCACATCCGGGCATGGGCAATCGCTCCTATAAAATGCCCTTCCTGGGGGGTTACAGGCGGGTCCTGGTTTATACACACTCGCCGCCCTGCCTCTGCCACAGGACAGGAAGCACCGGCTGGAAGAAAGGAGGCTGAGGCTGCCCGGGACATGACGCTACAGACCCTGCACTTGCCAGCCCAGCACTGTGCCTCTCCCTCCCCTCCTTCCCCCGGGCAGTCTGTGGTGCTGAGCCCTGGGCTCCAGAATGGAGTGTTGTTGTCCCTGGGGCGTGGTCTAGACATGAGCAGGCCAAGGAGGACAGCTCAGGGGACCCCTGGGTATTCCCCAGCCCAGGGCCCAGGAGCTTTGTGGGTGTGAGGTGGAGCACACCCCATGGGTTTGAACACAGCAAGGTGCTGACCACATAGTGGGGAGAACGCCACATGCTGGGCTCCCTGTCCAGGAGCGAGCCCAGAAATGGAGCTGTGTTACATTTCTAAAGACAAGTCCTGCCGTCCCTCCAGCCTGTCTCTGGCCATCCATGTCAGCCTCTGATTCACTGCCTCTGCAGGAGCTGGTTTCTCCCCATTGGCGCCCTCATCTGCCTCCAGTGTGGCCTCCCAGGCTGGGCACACTCCAAGTGTCTGCCAGGCACACGCCCATGTCTGAGAACGTGTCCCCTGCCCAGGGCGGGGCCAGGGTAGCCACGCCCGATGGGGCCAGAGGTGAAAGTCCTTGTGCCCAGAGGCACGGTGGAGCGAGAGCTACGGGTGTTTCCACTGCCCTTCCTCTGGGCGGGCCGCAACCAGCAATGGGCTCCTGGGATCTCCGAAGACGTGTGTGAGGCTGGTGCCATTGCTGTGCCATTTTACATGAGGGAGAACGACACCCAGGGAGGGTTGGTGGCTCACCCAGGGTCCCAGGCCAGTGACGCTTGGGTGTTGAAGAGGCAGAACATGCTCTCAGCCCCTTCTGAGTTCATGAAAGCTACACTGTCCTTGGTGAAGCCAGAACATCCAGAAGGGAGCGTCTCTGCGTGCGGAGCGGCGGCTCCTTCTTGGAGCCCCTCTTGCCGGAAGAGCCGATGGAGGGCCCGGGGACTGGGCTCCAGCAATGCCGGGAGCCCCTGCGGGGCTGCCCGTGGGCAGGCTGGTGCGGCTACAGAGGCCAGGGCACTGGCCCAGCCGCAGAGTAAATGGGTCAGGTTGCCCTCTGCCTCTGCCAGCCTGGACCCAGGAGACGGAGATGCTGGGGTAGCATGTCCTTCCCTCCCCTCTTCTCCCCCCTCCCTTCTCCTTCCCTTCTCTCTCCTCTCCTCCCTTCCTCTTCCCTTCTCTCCCCTCCCCTCCCATAGGCCCACTCGGACAGAGCCCACAGGACAAACGGCTCCTTGTCATGCCTCCACTCCCCGCTTGGGCCTTGAAGACTGAGCCCAGTTCACCTCATAAGTCATTTATTAGCACTCCCTGTGTGAGCTGTCGTGAAGTCAGGCTCTCACTCTTCCCATCAGAGCTCCAGCCAGGGAACTCTGGAGGAGTCGTCCAGCCTCACTCCGCATCGCTTTTCCACCTGTGAACTGGGCAGTAGTACTCACCTGTAGGACTGGGAAGCTATCCTCTGTGACCCAGGCAATGAGGTAGTGGCAGCGTCTTATAAATGGGATTGTTTATGAAGGGAGAGCCTCCTACCCACTGAGAGGCGGCAGTGGGTATTTCTAATCAAGCCCCAACTGAGGAGTGGAGGGCACCTCTGACTCCCTGCCCCCCACTGTCCTCCCCACCCGGTGTGTGCACTGAGGAAGGCTCTTCCGAGGACTCCAACTAGCGGATGAATCATAATCGCCCATGAATCAATCTGGGCCTACAGACCCCGCCCAGCCTGCAGCCCAGCTGCCTGTCACAGTCACATTACCAACTCCTGCACACTGCACATGGGCAGCCACAGGGCTCCGTCGACGGCCACCCTCACGCCCAGGACAGGCGGGCGGCTCCTGTAGGCACTGCCCAGCACCCTGTCTTGTCCCAGCATCTGCTGAAGGGTTCCTGAGCCCCGGCCCCAGCCCTCGGCCTGGAAGCTCCAAGAGATTTTCGTTTGCACGGCCCCAGCGGAGGGGGACGCCCCACGCAACCTCCAGCCCAGAACAGAGGGGACCTGAGCTCCACGGGTCTTTCTTTGCAACTCCTCTACATTTATTCGATATTTAAACAAACAGACAACGGCATGCAGGGGTCCTTTCTGCCTGTGTACAAGACCAAGTCCCGGCTTCTCTGCAGAGGGCTGCCATCTTCCTTCCTCAGGACCGGCAGGCAGGCTTCTCGGTGTTTTCCAGTTTTGCACAGTCACTAGAGTGTCGCATCATGAATTATTAAATCAGTACTTCGTGGTAATACATAATTTCTTATCAATTATTCATGCTAATGTGTGTGTAGTTTACTTAATTGTGTTATTGACGATCAAAAGTAATTTCCTGAAAGTCCTCAAGGACACAAAATTTAATCAGCGTAACTACTTTTCAGATGCAATGCTGTTAAGTATTCTTAATTTGCTCAACAGTTCACTTATTTATGTACCTTTCTGGAGGAAATACGAGTTTAATCAAACAATTAGATTGAAGAGTTAGTGTACGTAAGGGCTGGAGCTTGCATCGTTCAACCCAACATTCGTAATTACAGCGGAACGGAAGCGCCGTTGCCGCTCTTTGGCAGGCCGTTTCGTCTTGGTACTCAACAAGCAACCTACAGCAGGAAAAGGGCGTGTGTGTTTCTGAGGAGACCGTGTGTTTTATCAAACGCTTTGCAGTAATCAGAGACGAGGCACAACACACTCAGGGATATTGTTGGGGGCTTGGCGGGGAGGGTAAGAAGCGGGCAGGGCGATCTGAAGGTGGAGCCTTTTGACTACGGAAACTGAAAGGAGAATCATCGTCGTAAGGGTGGAAGGGTTTGCATGGAAACACCCGGTGAGCCATGGAAGACCGTGTCCCCCGGGACCAGACGCCTGCCGGGGAAGGCAGGCCCCGCGCTATTGCACATTTCCCTTTGATCTCGCAAGTCCACTGCCCACAGAGAAGGCGAGGAAACGGACACCCTGGGCCAACAGAGATCGCTGCGTCCGGCCCTTTGGAACGAGCCCTCGCCCGCTCCATTCTGCACCAGGCACCCTCATCTTGGCTCCTCCTGTGTCTCCTTCAGTTAAAAGGACCAAACCACCACCCGAGAGCTCCCTCTGTGCACCGGGGACCTGCGGTCAGGCAGTCAGTCCGGTGCGACCTGTGTCCGTGGCTTCCCGGGGCTCTCCCCTCCGAGGGCGAGCAGCTTCCCTGGACCAGGCACTGCTGTCCGCTGACCCAGAGGCCAGTCCCGATGGCAGGGCCCGCAGCGTGCGGCCACACAGGACACGCCCTCAGGGTCAGGATGCGGCCCCAGCTCCCGGGTTGGCAGCCTGTCTGGCCACAAGAGCCCAGTGAGAACCGCCGTGTCCCCCTAAGAGAGCTGCGCACCATCAGCCTCTGCCCCCGCCCCCATCTTCTCACCTTCTGACTATCCAATCCCACAACCAATAGGTTTCAACAAGACACAGGGGCGTGGCTGCTGGGCTTGGTAGAGGGAAGAGTTGGTTGGAATTCCAGCAGTTTCCTGGCTCTTAATGGACCAAGGGCAGTCCCATTTCATAGCATGAGGCTTAGCCCTGGGCGTCTCGTGTCACAGTTCTTGGAGGTGACCAGACCATCAATGGCATCCAGGAAATGGACAGGAAGGTGATGGGGGCAGCACTCTACTTCCCCCAAGCCTTCTGGGCACAGAAAAAAACCGACAGGTCCCACCACAGAGGCGGCTCCGGTGCCACCAGTGCCATCAGGACCTGTCACCAAAGCAGCCAGGACCACACGGGCCGCTGGCAGGACGCCAGGGCACTTCCCAGACAGCGAGGGAGCGGTGCTCTCATCCCTTCCAGGGTTCAGGAGAAGGCTCTGGGCGGCTGGCTTCTCCCTGTTTTCCACGGGGCTGAGGCGGGAGGAGCAGGGATGGGGGAGGGTGCCGGCTGGCACTCCCTCATACGCTCTTCTCACCCTCACTCTGTTCTGTGGCCGGAGGGGTCTTGTCCCGGCTGCCGGCGGGGGGCGCTGGCTTGCCGGCAGGGCCCGGGCTGCTGCTGGTGGCTGGCAGGAGGTTGGCGGACTGCAGGACGGCCTCCGAGTGCTCGCGAGCCTTCATGCGCAGGGCGGCCACGCTGGCCGTGCGGTTGCTCTGGCAGCCGTAGGGGGGGAGGAAGGAGAGCCCCATGGGGTCCGGGACACAGCAAGAGCACAGCGGGCCCCCTGGAGGGAGGAAGCACAAGAGGCTGCCATCACTGTCTGTGTTCTGTCTCCCAGGATCTGCGTGGGAGCAAAGGGCTGATCCATACTGCGGCTCTGGACACTGAAGGGCCAGGTCACAAATGCTCAGGCCCGGAAGCTGCACAACTCGATACCCAGTGGGTCATCCAAGGGATCCTCAGAGCATCAGAGACCTGCCCTCCCCAGCCACCTGTGTGCAGAGCCGGGTCTGGGCTTGTCTGAGCCTGAACGTCCACTTCTGTGAAATGGAGGGATACCTACCTCATAGGGCCATCACAGGGCCTAATGGTAAAATCCCACCATCCCCACACTGCGTGCAAAGCACCCTAAGGACTCCAGGGCCCGCGGTTAGACTTTAGTGGTGGGAGGCGGGGAAACCCAGCCACCTCTGCCGGATGCTATACAGGCCCCCCAAAGAGGAACCTCACCCCGAGCACCCCGACTCCTTTGTTTTGCAAGCACCATGCAAAAATCAAGTGGAACATAAGAGGGGGCGTGGCCTCCAAGGTCACAGAAGCCACAGAGCCCGCTGGGCTCACCCATTGGGAAGCCAGGGTAGCTGTTTGCAAATGAGAGGAGAATATTATTTTCCTTTTAATGTATAAAAACTATCCACCCAGTGGCTACTAAGTTGTTGGGACACAAATACTGAGTTACTCAGGCCTAACCAGTTTTGAGCAGAACCTTTGGCTATTTCTTCTGCCCAAGAACGTCCTGAGAGTGTGAGACGCTCGGGCGCTGTGGTCTGAGGCTGAGACCCTCTGAAGGGACCGGTTTGGCCAGCACTTGGCACAGGCCCCTGTGTGGATGGGGTTTCAGAGCCACTGCCCGGCCCAGCCCGCCCACCGGCCCGGCCCGGCCCTCTCCACTGGTCGTCCTCGGCCTTGCCTTTACTCAGGGACTGCCCACGGGCACCTGGCCCCGCTCTCGGCCTGGGGACTAATCAGCACCTCTGGTGGAGGCGGCATGCTAGGCCGCGTCCCTGATGCCGAGGCAGGGCGGAGGGCTGTGGCCACGTGAACGGGACACAGTGCTTGGGTCGGGGAGACAGGTGTGCGTGTGCAGAGCCTGACAGCTGGGGGAAGAGCAGGAGCCGCCAGGCGGGGGACAAGTCTCTGGGCGCTCGGAGTGCCTAAAGCCAGAGGCTGCAGCTGAGGGGGTGGCAGACGGGTGGTCGGGGGCCACCAAGGCCGCAGGGAGAGGAAGCCTGGATGCTCTGAGTAGAGCCTCCAGCTTCTCTGCACAGGGGGCGGGAGGCTGCTCAGCGCTGCAGTCCCAGCGGGCGGGGAGGTGGCGGGAGGGGCCGGACCCGGGATTTTGCCAACGGTGAGAGCCTGCGCGGGTTGCTCACAGACTGCCAGAAGAGAAAGGGAAAGGAGACACAGATGACACCTAGGTTTGGGCCTCAGCATTAGAATGAATGAAGGAAGGAATGAATGAATGAATGAATGTGCCATTTCCAAGATGGGGACAAACAGAGAGGAAGGTGTTGGGGGAGGGGGTTGGCCATCTGAGTTCCAAGGGAGAGCTGAGCAGTGCTCGGCGGTGCTGTACCCCCCCTCCTTGAAGGCTGCCCAAGGGCTGCCAGGGCCCAGCACTGGCAGGTGGGGAGGCCGAGGTGCACAGACCTTGCACCCAGAAGGGGTGGGTAGACTCAGCTGCCAACATGACATAATTTGAGGGACTTTAACAGCCCCTTGGGTAGGTCGAATGGTGGCCCCCATTGTGGTCCTGCAGGAGCTGAAGCAGCCTCTGCCTGCGGCCAGCGGGGCGGGGCTGCAGAGCCAGGCTTCACCAGGAGAGGAGAGGGCCGCCGCGGCCGTGCAGGGACACTGGACTCAGTGCCTGTCCCTCCATTGCTGCCCCACCCGCCCTCCGCCCTTTCTAAGAGTATTCACCTACTTTGGGGACAGCAGCTTTGCAAAAGGAGTGTTTTGGACCAAAACCCATGCTTGGTGAACCCTGTGTGACCTTCCAACCCTCGTGTGCTGGGCTCCACCGCCCTCCTTGGCCCTCTCCGGTGCTGCAGGCCTCCCGGCAGGCCCACACGCAGGCGCAGCAGAGCCCGCCCTGAACGCTGTAGGGACCATGGCCAACGCTGCCCTGGGCACAACCTCCCAACAGCTCCAGGACTGACTCTGCCGGGAGCCCCTTTTGCAGAGGAGGAGACTGGGTTAAACACTAAGGGGCCGAGCTGACCTCACTCCAGGCAGAGGCCTGCCCTTCACCACTGAGTCCCCTTCGTGAAAGAGGACACAGTCCCCCCCAGGGGCCTCCTGCAGGTGCACCTGGGACTGGGGGTGCAGGCTGGGACTGAGGGTGGGGGCTGGGCCTGGAAATGAGGGCTGGGACTGGGGGTGGAGGCTGGGACTGGGGCTGTGGGCTGTGACTGGGGGTGGGGGCTGGGATGGGGGGTGGGGGCTGGGACTGGGACTGGGGATACAGGCTGGGACTGGGGGTGCAGGCTGGGACTGGGGATGCGGGCTGGGACTGGGGCTGTGGGCTGTGACTGGGGGTGCGGACTGGGACTGGGGGTGCGGGCTGGGACTGGGGGTGGGGCCTGGGACTGGGACTGGGGGTGCAGACTGGGACTGGGGCTGTGGGCTGGGACTGGGGGTGCGGGCTGGGACTGGGGCTGTGAGCTGGGACTGGGGGTGCAGGCTGGGACTGGGGGTGCGGGCTGGGACTGGGGGTGCGGGCTGGGACTGGGACTGAGGATACAGGCTGGGACTGGGGGTGCAGGCTGGGACTGGGGGTGCGGGCTGGGACTGGGGGTGGGGGCTGGGACTGGGGCTGTGGGCTGGGACTAAGGACACCTCCACCCTGGCAGGCTCTCCTCACGTTCCTGGGGCTTCACCCAGCATGGAGCCTCCTCAGGGCTCCTGGTTATGCTGCTTCAGAGCCCTTGCCTTCAGCTTCACAGACGGGCCTCGAGGGCAGTGCACGGCCAATCCAATGCTGCAGGCCTGTTTGTTGTCTATCTCCCCCACACCCCCAAAAAACTGCAGGCTCCCCATGGGGGAGGGGGGGAGTACTGGGCTGAGGCTCAGGCACTGTTCCCAGCAGCGCCTGCATGCCCTGCAGGGCGTGCCTGTCAGTGTGGCTCTGTCCCCAGCACCCAGCAGTGGGTCAGTCCCGGGGAAGTGTTTGTGGAAGCGGGGACGGCGGCAGGGAGGGCGCCTGGCCCCACGCCCCTGTGGGATGGCCTCAGGAGGCAGCCTGGACAGCACAGCCAGGGCCACGGCATAGCAGCTGCTGGTCACTCCCTCCCCCTTCCTCCAACAGGCTCCTGTGCCAGCCAGGCACGCCTCCCTCACACACCTGTGGGCCCTTTCTCTTCCTCCCCACGCCTGTGCGGGCAGAACCAGACCCACTGCTGACTCTCATCACACTCTGGCCGCCCCAGGGTGGCACTGCCCAGCCGCCCTCTGGGTAAGGGCTGTGCCCGGGGAACTGCCCGGGGCGCACAGCGCTCAGCAGGGGACCAGGACGTGGGCCTTCCCTGGGTGCCACGGGAGGAGAGGCAGCGGCCACTTCCTGCCTCTGTTTGACCAGCGGGCCGATGCAGCAGGCAGCAGACACCAACACAGACCACAAGCTGAAGTTTAAGGGAATTCTGAGAGCCAGCCGGAAGCCGGCACCCCTGGCGGGCCTCAGCCTGGGCCTTTGCAGCCGGAAACAAAGAATTGCCGGAGACAGCCCCAAGGCCTGCCTGTGCCACTTCTCCTAGCGGCTCTCACACAACCCACAACCACACTGACAGGCACCGCCACCCGCAGGGCGCTGCTGGGAACAGTGCGGCCACAGCCAGGGACCCCCTGGAGGGTGCCTGGGAAAGGAGGCTGCCTTCCCTCCAATCCCCTCCCACCGGGGAGCGCACGTGCGGAGACACACAGCATGAAGAAAGCGAGCAGCGCAGCGCAGGAACACTGAAGATCTCCTCTGTGTCTGTAGAGTTTGTCTCATTTTTCTGCAGTGAATGTGAACTTCTAATTTCAGAATCCTGGCTAATTTTAATGGACGTTAAAAGAAGGAAGATGGAGTTAGACGCTGTCCGCACGTGAGAAGGGGCTGCAGGGGGCCGGGAGCCGGAGCTCTGAGCTGGTAAGTGCGGAGGTCACGGGGGAGCCTCCTGGGGCTGAGGCTGTCAGGGACCTGGGAGGGCCGCTGTCTGCAGGCTCCGCCCTGGGCATCCGCCCCAGTCAGGGCCACTCAGCCTGTCTGAGGCTGCCTCCTGCTCCAATGTAAGCATCAAAGGGGGAGTGACATCGTCTGAGACCCAATGGCTGTGTCACCTGCAGGATAAGACAGGGCTCCCTCCCCTGGTCCACAGCCTGGTCCACAGCCTGCCCCGCTAGGTCACACGCCACAACAGCCACCAATAGCCGCACTGCTGGCCTGCAGAACCCAGGTGCTGGCAAGAGGAATAAGCTCACTCACAGAGCTGAGGTGAGGCTGCGGGAGAAAGAGAGGCGCCAGGCACACCCTCCAGCTCACCCCCACACTGGACAGGTGGGGAAACTGAGGACCAGAGAAACCCAACGACCGGGAAACTGGTTAAAAACTGTAAGCGCTATACAGACAGCATATATATATATATATATATATATATATATATATATATATATATAAATGCAAATTCGCCAACTTAGTCACGACTGGCTCAAGGAGGCTGCTTCACGACCTCTCAAAGGAGCTGTGCATGCAGATGGGTGGGAGGGGACTGTGAGCTGCCCCAGTGGATTGGGGTGTGTTCCCAGCAACCTGTGGTGCAGCTCAGATCACACCCCGATGGGTGGCGGCAGCAGCCAGAGCAGAGCAGCCGGGTCCCGGGTGCCAGAGGGAAACCAGTGCTCTGGACACGTTTCTAAATCTCTTTCAACAACAACAACAAAAAAAACACACACACACACACACACACACAAAAAACGAGTTTCAGAGTGCAATGTGAATCCCAAAGTGGAGTTCTCTTCAACTTTAAC